ACCTAGCAGAAAGTTAAGACTATCCTTATTAGAGTTAATAACTAGTTAGCTATTAGCCTAGTTAAGAATTACTTAAACTCTAGAAGGTTACGATATATTTTAGTAAGAAATTACTATTATAGGGAATAATATAATCTTAGAAACATTAAAGTAGAATATATAAACACTTCTAAGCAGCTAGCTAATATACTAATAAAGCTAAAGTCCCCTAATATAATTATATAGTCCCTAGTAGACCTACAAAACTTTTCCTTTATAATAACTATAGTTATTACTACCCTATTTTATTTATCGAAGCAAAAATACTATTAGAAACTATATTAGCTATCTAAACATGCAGAAAGACTACTAGAAATTTACTAACTAGCTACTCTTAGGCTTCCTATTACCTCCTAGAGCTTATAGCTCTTAATCCTAATTACTCTTAGGTTATCTTAGTGTTATTATTATTATTAGGAGCATTCTTATCCCGACGGGTACGAATCTTACTAGGGTTAAATGCTATACTAGTATCCTATATCTAGGTAAAGTTCTCTAGGACATTCTATAGTATAGCCCTTATATAGGCTCTCTACTACTCTCGGTTAGAAGCTAATAGGTAGTTAAAGTTAACTATAGCTATTTTATAACGACTACTAGCGCCTAGAGTAGGAAGAGATCTTAAGAAGTTAATTAGGTAGCAATTATTATAAGGGTATATATTTCTAGTAGGGCTTCTAAGAGTAGTAGGCGACTAGAAGGGTAATATCTAAAAGAGAGGTCTGCTATTACTATTATATATTAGTAGAAGAGGACGGTTACGGTAGGTAATAGCTAGAGGATTATCGGGAGCCTTAGATATCTTAGCCTTATCTAGATTCTAAGTAACACGAGCATTAAACTTAGTGCGGTTACGAGTATTTCTTAAAGTAGGCTTATAAGTGCTAAAGTTGTAGTACTCGTAATAATTATTAATAGTATACTCTAGGTAAGCTCCCTTAAATAGGCTCTTAATAGTAATGTAGCTATTAAAGATAGTATTACTACGGCTAGTATAGGAGTTATATATAATATTATTAATCTAAGTACTACGAATTAAAGAAGTAGTAATAGTTAGGTAGTAATTATTACTACTACTAATATTAACTATAGGCTCCTTAGATCCGGAGCTAAGGGTACTAGAAGTAGCTAAACGAGGCTAAGTAATAACCTTAAACTTAGGCTTTCTACTAGTAAGCTTGTCTATCTACTAGGTAGCTAGAGGATTCTTTAAGATATCCTTAAAAATAGCTACTAAGCTAAGACTATTACTACGGCCCTCCTTATAGGCTCTATTAAGGCTCTTAATAAAGTAACGGTTAAAATGCGATAGGGGAATAATAACCCTGCCCTTTATATCTAGAGTATACTTACGGGTAGTAAGATCTTTTAGAATGTTCTAAACCTTCTCTAGTAGCTTCTCTCTCTAGGAAGTACTAGTAGCCTAGTAACTAGTGCGGCTAGGATTCTTCTTTAGTAGACTACTACTACTACTACTACTACTACTACCTATACTAGTAGCTATATAACTACCTCTACGGTTAATTACTATAAATATAATAAATGTTAAAAAGTAAAATCTAGGGACGAAGAGAGAGAGAAGCATCTAGGACAGTCGGGGTAAGCGAGTGTAATTTAGAGAAGGAAGAGCCTTCTTAAAAGACTAAATATAAGTGGTTTCTTAGCAAAGGCACAGTTATTCCCTAGCCTGTTAAATTCTAATACTCCCCTATAGCTATGTCTCTATCTAAGAATTCCAAAATTTAAAAAGGAAGGAAAAAACTACTAAAAGGCATATTAGTGCTCCCCTATTCCCTTAGAATCCTCCCCTATTTCCCTAGACCTAATCTAGCTCCCCTATTTTTAGAAATCTTCTAAAACTAACCTAACTAACTCTAGATCTAAAAAGTTAGAATATTCCTTAGATCCTAAATCCTCTAGTTCTAGATCTAACCTAGTACTAGACTCTAAATTATCTAGTTCTAAATCTAACTTAGTTCTAGATTCTAGATTAGATAGAGGATTCTTAGAATCTAAGTRTTAGTCTCCCCTAGTTCTAGAATCCTTAAGCTAGAGTTCTATTATAATATCCTAAATTCTCTTAAAAAGATCTTTTCTTAACTAATCTAATACATCTTTAGACTATATCTAATCTTCCTCTAAACTTGCTCTTTCTAGATCTAGCTTAAAAGTAGCTTTAGAAGGTAGGATTAGAGGTAGTTTAGGTAACCTTAACTTAAGGGTGGATTTTAACTTAGGACTAGATTTTAACTTAAGGGTAGATTTTGTCGTAGTTTTAGGAATAGACTTTAGAGTAGAATTTTCTAGCTTAAAGGTGGCTTACTAAGAGGTAAAAGCTAATCTAAATTCTATTCTAAAGACGTATAGCTCCTAAGGATTAAGTAGTAGCATTTTATATTAGTATCTTATTAAAGTATAGAGGTGTCCTTTAACCTAAAGTAAAAATTCTGCATAAGTAGTACTAAGCTTATTAAATTGTCTATAGGGTTCTAGAAGAAATTTTTAGAGGTCTTTCTATTACTCTTTTTCTCTTTACTATAGGAGAGAGTTCCTCTTCCTATCTTAGAAGATAGGGTAGAAAGACTAGGACTAATTATTAGATTTATAGCTAGATAAGGTATACTAAACTTAATATCTAATCTAATATAGAGAGGTTAAGTACCTTAGATTTATATTCTCTTTCTAAACTATTAGGGGTATTATTTAGAGGCTAAACTTAGAGGTATCTTAGTTATATAGGGTTCCTCTTCCCCTCCCTTCTCTTCTAAATAAATTTAAGGAGTAGATTCCTTTACTAGAATGCAAAACTTCTCTTTAGATTTATTTTAAAGGTAAAAGTAGGCGCAAAACCCGGGCTTATAACCTATTAAAAAGTGAAATCTAGGGACGAAGAGAGAGAGAAGCATCTAGGACAGTCGGGATAAGCGAGTGTAATTTAGAGAAGGAAGAGCCTTCTTAAAAGACTAAATACAAGTAGTTTCTTAGCAAAGGCACAGTTATTCCCCAGCCTGTTAAATTCTAATAATAAATATCTTAATAGATGCTTAATTAAGTATTTTAATAGATAATTAATTAAGTATTTAGATATAATATAAGGCGGATTAATATAAAGGATATTATAGTATAGATAATAGTTAAGTTTAAAAGAAGGAGGCCTCTTATAGAAGCGTTAGAAAGAACTTAGGTATATATATTAAGTTATAAGGACCTAAAATATATATATAATTATGCATAACGTATATATTAAGTATATATAGCAGTATCTAACTACTAAAGCCGACGATAGCTTCTAATCCTTTATATAGATATATATAATATTACTAGAAGGGGGAATGTTATAATTCTAGCACGTAATCTATAGATAACTAAGGATTAGACGATATAGCCGCATCTTAGATGCAGAGTTTTCACCTATATGCTAATTAGTGTTATCTGCGTACTTCACCTTAATTCAGTAACAGCTTTATAACAACGGGCAGGCATAGACAAGGTATGTTCGGGAATTAAGAAGTCGTTCTCTGTCTCTGACTCCGCGTCGAGAAGCAGGCATGGCGGGCATTTTCACGCTGCACGGGATGAAGAAGACCGCTGGCTGGACTGTCATCGAGCACTCGAAACATCATCCCCCGACCGCCCTGAACATGAGACCGATAGATAGCCGCGAGCCGGATCGGACAGCCTGCTGGTTGATGTAAACACCGGTGCCGAGGGGATTGAGTAATGCCGATGTCTATCACCGCGCATGATCCGTTGAATCTAGTGCMCACGAGGTCATGCCATCATGGTTGTCCCTGGGATCGATTGACAGAGGGCAASAAACTCTCGAATGGAGATCCCTTGTATTCACGGCGTAAGGCTGTGGCGATAGATGCGACTTGTTTTCAAAATCAGTGCCTGCTACTTAATCCACCAGGTGGCACGACGTCGGACAAAGGACACAGAGAGGGGGCCAGTTCATCCGACAAGTCCCAGCCCGATTCGTCCTCCGGTCCCCCTCGCGCACGCCTTTACGACGCTGTCCGCTAACGTGCCTTTGAAATATACTGACTGTCCATCCATTCCTGTTGGCGCCCATTCGCTCCATTTCCCATTCCACCATGGCGGAACGAGAGGCCATTGCCATTGTTGGCTACGCCTACAGAGTCCCGGAAGTTGGCCGAAAGGACCTGTGGGCCTTGCTCGAACAAGCCAGATCCGCCTGGTCCCAGATTCCCGCAAACCGGTTCGATCATGATGCCTACGCCCATCCTGAAGCCAGTAAACCCGGCTGCATCGCATCGCAGGGAGGCTACTTCATCCCCGGAGATGTCTACACTTTCGATCCCGCCTTCTTCAACATCAAGGCTGAAGAAGCCCGACGCCTCGATCCGCAAGTGCGCCTGGCGCTGGAGACGGCCTTTGAGGCGCTGGAGAATGCGGGCATTCCTCTGGATCTGGTCGCGGGGGCCAACATCGGCGTGTTTGCCGCCAACACCTGGATGTCATCCGTCAACGAATCCATCATGGATGGCCCGACGACTTCGAAATACACCTGCCCCTCTGCCTCGGGGTGCATGTTTGCAAACCGGTTGTCTCACTTCTTCGACCTGGCTGGCCCGTCGATGTCAATCGATGCTGCGTGCGCCGGCAGCTCTTCAGCCTTGCATGTCGCCACACAGAGCATATGGACCGGCGATTGCGATGCAGCTCTGGTGTCTGGCGTTTCGTTGGCGACCTCCGAAGCCCTCTTCTCCATCTTTGATACCATGGGGTAAGATTACTCGAATTCGTCCTCATGCATTCTTCACTAATCATATTCAGAGCTCTTTCGACCCCGGGCAAGTGTTTCTCCTATGACGCTCAAGCTTGCGGCTATGGTCGCGGTGAAGGTGCATCTTGTCTTTACCTTAAACCTCTGCGGCATGCTGTACGTGACGGCGACCCCATACGAGCCGTAATTAGGAATACCGAGTGCGGCCATGCAGGTCGAACTGACGGTATCACACTCCCTTCCGGCATGGCACAGGAAGTGCTGCTGCGGCGTGTACATGATAGGATAGGGTGGGACACGGCAGACACCCATGTCGTCGAAGTAAGCAGACAGCCTCAAATTCTACCAACATGCCTGACTTGCTAACCCCACAACCACTCGCAGGGACACGGGACAGGAACCATGGCGTAAGTAAATCCCAGTATCTGAGAGACCCAATTCTCTGCAATGTCCAAGATCTGAGCTGACTTTAAATTCACCTCTAGCGGGTTAGTGAATGTTATGACTCCGTGGATGCACATTTCTAATCAGTATACTACCTCAGAGATCCAATCGAAGCCAACGCCATCATCTCGGCCCTCGGGGCGAAGCGATCTTCCACAGACCCGATTTATTTGGGCTCGATCAAATCCAACATTGGGTCAGTATGCGAGCACGGCCCGGAGAAATTGAAGATTACTGCCCCATCTTCACTGCAGCACTGAAAATCACATGCTCCCTGCAACAACAACATCTCGAATAAGAAGTCTATTCGACATGACGTTCGGCTCTCCGCCAGGCTGCTTCTGTTTGGGCTTATAGCCCCCTCTCAGCGAGCGTTGTCGTCGTATCGCCACAAGCAGAGCCGACAATCTTCCTTTTCATCGACACTTGGGGACACTTGTGGAGCAATTGCTGACTTGCGATTCAGACATACGGAAACTGCAAGCGGTCTACTCTCAATCATCAAGGCCACCATGATGCTGGAACAACGAAGAGTATTGCCTACGTGTGGGTTCCAACAATTGAACCCTGCTATTGGCCGCGGGGACAAGCTACGAGTATGTGGTGCCTATTCTAAGTCAAAAGTTCTATACTTATCGACCTGTTTAGGTGTTGAAGGAGTCCATGCCATGGCCGACCGGGGCACCAAGACGGATATGCGTGTCCAACTACGGTCAGTCTCCACCAGTTCAAATGTTTGCAGCGGACCTACTAACGAAGTTCAGGTTACGGAGGCAGCATGGCCGTTGCCTTGCTAGAAGCGTTTGAAGGTGACGAGGACAGCACGACGTCTCCATCATCTGCACTGACAACATCCGACAATGAACTCCAGGAGCATCAAAATCATCTTTTCGTCTTCTCTGCACGATCCGAGTCGAGTCTGCGCTCCTACCTGGCTGCGTTTGCTGAATATCTGGAGGACGTAGAGGACACACCTGGCAAGGCTCGTCACCTAGCGTACACTTTAGGCCGGCGTCGGACGAATTTTCCATATCGAATCGGTGTACCCGCCAACTGCTTGGTTCAACTACGTGACCGACTGCGTGAGCATGTCAATTCTGCCTCGAAGATTCACCGCGCCAATCCCAAGTTACAGATTGCCTTCATGTTTACCGGCCAGGGAGCTCAATACGCCCAGATGGCACAAGGACTCGACCGCCAGGATGTCTTTTCTGCCTTTATCAGGAGAGCTGATGAATATCTCGTCACGTCTCTCGGCTGTCCCTGGTCTTTGCGAGAGGAACTCAGCAAATCCCCTGAGCACTCCCGCTTAGGAGAGGCTGTCATCAGCCAACCTGCGTGCACAGCAGTCCAAATTGCACTAGTGGAGCTTCTGAGGTCTTGGAATGTCACTCCTTCACTAGTATTTGGACACTCGAGTGGAGAGATTGCGGCAACTTATGCTGCCAATTATGTTCCCTTCGAAACAGCTATGGCGGTGGCGTTCTACCGCGGCGAAGCCGCCTCCCGTGTTCGGCAAGACGACAGCATCGCCGGAGCCATGCTGGCAGTCGGCGCATCTGCTAGACATGTTCGAGAGTGGTTGCCATGTCAGAGCGGCTACGCTACCATTGCCGCCATCAATAGCGACGCCAGCGTGACCTTGTCGGGAGACGCATCTGCAATGTCCGAACTGGAAAAGATTGCAGTTTCGGAAGGCCTGTTCGCACGACGTCTGAATGTGGATGTTGCTTATCACTCCAAGCACATGGAATCGGCATCTGCATCGTACTTGGAGGATCTTCAATCGTGCTACCAATCCGGTCACCACGTCCTATCCACTAGGGACATCGCCTTTGTGTCTACTGTGTCCGGACGCCTAGAAAGCAGGCATGCGATTGATCCATCCTACTGGGTTCGTAACCTTGTTGAACCGGTCCGCTTCGTCGACGCGGTGGAGGCGATCTTTTCACGTTCTAATGTTACTCCTGACGTGGTCATGGAAATTGGCCCACACTCGGCTCTCAAAGGACCATTGAACCAAACATTGGCTTCCTTGCGGAATGATGAAGAGGGTGTTCAAGTGAAGTATTTGCCAACACTCACGCGAGGCGCGCCTGCAGAAGATGCGCTGTTGTTGTGTGCTGCTCGCTCTCTTGCCTGTGGTGTAGGGGTGAGTGTCACATCTGTGGACCGGACCGAAGGATGTCGAGTGCTTACAGATCTACCWTCATATGATTGGGATCACTCTGTCCGGTACATTGAAGAGTCTCGTATCGCTCACGCTCGGAAGGCGCCTGCTAGCCCCTATCATGCACTTTTGGGCTGGCGAAGTCCATACAACGAAGGAGCCGATTGCTCTTTCCGCCAGGTCTTCACATTGGACGAGATGCCTGGACTCCGAGACCATGTTGTCTCTGGCGAGGTCGTGTTCCCCATGACCGGATATCTTGAGCTAGCCATGGCGGCTGGGCGCACTCTCAGTCATGGAGCTGCAGTTGGTTTCACCATCTCCGAATTTCGGGCTATACGGAGCTTGACGATTGAAGAAGAAGAGCTTGTTGAGATTGTGACGAAACTCATTCCTCTCCGGAGCGGAGATGGCACGGTAACAGCAAACATGTGGAACTTTGAGATATGGACATGGTCGAAAGTCAGATCATGGACATCACATTGCCATGGCATTATAGCGGCCGATGCTTTGCTCGAAGTACAGAGTGCTGCAGCTGGTGTCGCCGCATCGCTTCTCCGCCACGAGCTATCCGAGAGTCTGGACATGGTACGCGAATACAAGACGGCGGCAGCTATCGGCCTCGACTATGGGCCCACCTTTGCATGCACCACTGGGCTTTGGGAGCTGCCCGAAAGTAATGCAGCGGTGCATGAAATAGACGTTCAAGATCTCTTTTCATCATCGGATGATGGGAGTGTCCGCCTTAACATGGCCAAAATGGACAATTTCGTGCATACTGCCACKCGAGTAGCTGTAATGGGCACGGAAGCCCCAAGACCAACTCTCATCCCGACCTACACCCGACGTTTCAGGATTTTGGACTCCATTCCAATGCTCCACGGGCCTGCCAAGCTCCACGGCCCTGCCAAGCTGACGGTCGTCACTCAGCGAGTAAAGGCGGATGTCAAGTCGGGTACTTATGTGCTCCACGCCACTGTTTTCGCGCCATCAGCGACTGGTCCAGTTGCGATTGCTGACGTTGAGGAGCTGACTTTCCGTTCCATTGGAGCTGGAAGGGCATCGCAGTCTCTTGAACAAGCAGAATCATATGATTGGGAGATGGTACCCTGTCCCCAGCTCGATCTGCGCCGACCCAGTAGAGACAGTGTCTCAATCTGCGTCTGTGGCGGTTTTGGAGAGGAAGACTCGAGTGAACGTCGATTTGCACAGATGCTGGTCGACCAGATAAGTTGCACGCCTGGTAACGTCGCCAGACTTCAGACTTATTCGGATCTGGATTCCAGCTCCGTGGATCAGGAGTCTTGCTACGTATTCATTGATAACCTCACCCAGAGTGTTACCAGCAGCCTTGACCCCGAGGCCTACAAAACAATCCAGTCACTGGTCTTACAGAGTGCTGGGGTTTTGTGGGTGGTTGCCGAGGGAAGTACTCCGGATGCATACACTATGAAAGGATTCCTCCGATCATGTCGTCTGGAACAGCCCAGCCAGCCTTTACTATTTGCCGAGGAAGTGCCTCTCACCTCACAGGGCTCTTCGCTTGTTGCGGAACTCTCTCAGCGCCTCATCAGCGATCCTCTAGCGCTTCGAGATCAGGAGTTCGTGCTGTCTAACGGAGATGTCCTCGTGCCTCGTCTGCGAGCAACTCCCGATGCCGCGAGCATGTTCGGTACAGACAGTCGTCAGACACCGGAAGAGCCGATCAGCAGGACGCTCCAACCTCTGTCTACATCCTCCCGGGAAGAGCGTACTTTGCGGATGACGGTCGAGCCGGTTGGAAGCCTCGAAAACATATGTTTTGAGACAATTGACCTTTTAGCAACGCCACTCGGCGATGAGGAGATTGTTATCAAAGTCCAGGCCGCAGGCATCAACTTCCGAGATCTCATGATAACACTCGGAACACTACCATGGGCCCCACCAGGACTAGAAGGAGCTGGTATTGTGACCAAGGTGGGGAACAAGGTGACTGCTTTCCAAACAGGCGACAGGGTATTTTATTCCTGTCTAGAGGGTGCGTACAGCACTTTTGTGCGCATGGATTGGCGGCGTGCGCATAAACTGCCGACCAACATCGACTTTGTGCAGGGCGCCACACTCGCCGTTCCTTACGGGACAGCCATATGGTGTTTACAAAACATCGCCCGCCTCAAGCGTGGGGAGACGGTTTTGATTCATGCCGCCACAGGTGCCGTCGGTCAAAGCTGTGTGGCAGTTGCACAGTCTATCGGTGCTGAAATCTTTGCAACTGCAGGCACACCGGCCAAGAGAGAATTTCTCCACACATCTCTAGGCATCGCCAAAGACCACATTTTTAACAGTCGTACAGGCGCCTTCCGCGACGGAATTCTTTGTGCAACGAGCGGCAAGGGGGTTGATGTCATCGTCAACTCCCTTAGTGGACAGCTGTTGGAGCAAACATGGCAGATTATTGCTGACTGCGGAAGATTTGTGGAGATTGGGAAGAAGGATATCTTGGCCAACTCATCGATTGGGCTACGACCCTTTGAGCGGAATGTCAGCTTCAGTGCGGTTGATTTGAAGCTCCTGTTCTTGAGAGATCCGGACAGTCAGCAGTCAGGCATGTCCGAAATTGTCAGCATGTTCGAGGAGGGTAAAATCGGTCCCATCAAGTCCATCACCGCCATGCCCATTTCGGATCTCCAAGTCGGATTCCGGAAGCTACAACTGGGCGATAATATCGGCAAAATGGTCGTCACACTGGACCAGGACGATATGGTCCTCGCAGAGGAGGTCCCTGAAATCTCATCTGCAAAACAACAGGATGAACAAGGCCTGAAGCCTATGTTCCGAGCAGACGCTACCTACATCATCACTGGCGGTACTGGCGGTCTCGGACGCTCAATTGCCCCGTGGATGATTGAGAACGGCGCACAGCATGTCGCCCTACTTGGTCGAAGTGGCGATGCAAGGCCAGAGGTTGCTGAACTCATCGAACAGCATCCGCAAATTTGTGCCATTGCTTGCGACGTTGGAACCCGCAGCAGCCTGCTTCGTGCGTTGGATGAAATTCGTGCCAAGGGCATGCCTCCGGTCTGTGGTGTCGTCCATGGCGCCTTGTATCTCCGGGTGAGTAATACCTTCTTCCACAAAATTCTGCTTCGCAAACACTAACACAATATAATCCAGGATGCACTTCTGCCGAACACGACCTTCGAAGACTGGCAGAAGACGACGGAGCCCAAGATCCAGGCCGCGTGGCATCTTCACGAGTTGCTGCCAGACTTGGAGTTCTTCGTCTGCCTTGCCTCTATAGCAGGCATCATGGGTAACGAAGGACAAGCGATATACGGAGGAACCACTGTAAGTTTCTTCCTGGCTTGCCTAGTGTGTTGTGGACGTCTGCTAATACATATCTCCTTTCTAGACCTTTCTCGAGGCCTTCTCCGCCCATCGACGCGGGATGGGGCGTCCTGCAGTCTCTATCCAACTGCCCGTCATCGAAGACGCAGGCTACGCGGTAGACCATGGGCTTAAGGGTGTGCTTCGGGAACAGTTCGGTGCGTGGTTGAACATGCCTCAAGTGTGCCAATTGATCGGGGATGCGATCCTCAGTTCTGGTACTCCCACAAACCGAGCCACCATGTTCATCCGCGAGCGCAACAGGGCATCACCCCCAGCCTGGGCGAGATATGACATGTACACCGCGCTACGCCAGGGGGAGAAGGGGGCAGGCGGAGTAGCAGGGCGTGGTCGACAATACGACGCCGACACTTTCTTGCTCGCTTTGAGTGAGCGTGTGAGTAAGCTGACCATGATGGAGCTTGAAGAGGTCGAGCCCGATTTACCTTTGGAGGATCTGGGACTCGACTCCCTTGTCTCCGTCGAGCTCCGGAACTGGATCAGACGTGAGACTGGTTGTGAGCTGGCGCTCAATCAAGTCTTGACCATGCCTAATCTCCGAGCTTTGGCTTGTCATGCTGTCGCTTCGGAGTAGAGAAGCGCATTTAGATGACGATGATGAATGTTTACAATTCGATGCTTCTCTCCCGTTTGTCTTGAAGTTCTCACTTTCTTTCACCCCTACCATCGTGCCATAGAGTCTCGTCGACAGAATCAAAAGCTGTAGTGTGATTGGAAACCGTATCAGGATCATGAACATCAATGTAACTGTGCCGTCACCAAGAATAGTCGCGAAGATGGAACTCAGCACGTTCCTGGGCTCTCCCTGTCAAGACTGGGGGTCATCGTGCGACAGGAAACGCTTGTGGCGAGTGTCACAGGAGTACCTCATGACCAAACCATATCTACCTAGCTCCTGAGCAATATGTACTGCCAGGGTATTGGGCCAGCTTCAGGAGTCAACAGTAGATATCAAGCTGAAAAGACCGAGCAATATATTGAATTATCCTTGCCCAACGCTCCATAGCCAGCAAACTCGTTCTGCGCCGGATCCCACACGGTCCTGTCCCATGTTGCGATCCCTGTAGTATTTACCCGCACCAATTTAGCTCTTGCTTGAAACAATCTCCAACAGCACGACTCAAGCAAAATGAGCATTCCATCTAGTGCAAGTATAACCTACTCCCAGAACTCCGCTGAAGCTTAGAAGCTAGCAAGCGCATAGTACTCTCTCAGTCATGGGGCATTCCGAACATACAGAACAAACCTCTTCCCAAGAACAGCATTCCCAATTCCCAGCAAACCACTCATCAGGAACCGCATCCCCTAGATCAAAAACCTGGACAGCTCTACCACCTCTCCCAAACTCCCCAACAAAAACAACAATCTCAACCGAACCACATCATCATCCCTCACAAGAAGAACGCGCAAAAACCAAAAACTCAACCGCCTCCTACCCAACAGGACTCCCCCTAGCCTTAATCCTAACATCCATAACCCTAGTATCCCTCCTCTTCGCCCTAGACGGCACAATCATCGCAACCGCAATCCCTCAAATCACAAACGACTTCGCCAGCCTCGCCGACATCTCCTTATACGGCTCCGCATTCTACCTAACAGCCACAGCTTTCCAACTTCCCTTTGGTCGAGCCTACACTCTGTTAGATACAAAATGGACATTTCAATTTTGCGTAGGGGTTTTTCTTATAGGGAGTGGAATCTGTGGAGCAGCACCTAGTTCTAAATTTTTCATTTTGGGGAGGGGGATTCTTGGATTTTCGGGGGCGGGAGTTATTGCTGGGGTTTTTGTTGTTTTGGGGAAATGTACACCGTTGAGGAAGAGGGCGGTTTGGATGGGGGTTGTTGGGGGTTTTATGGGTGTTGGGGCTGTTGTTGGACCGGTTATTGGGGGGGCTCTTACTACGAGGGTTTCTTGGAGATGGTAGGCTATCTTACTTCTCATTCATCCTTGGTATTAAAGATATGGCTGACAGAAAAAAATTCTAGGTGCTTTTATATCAATCTCCCGATTGGAACGGTGGTTTTCTTGTTCGTTTGGTTTTACTTGCCGAATGATATTGGTCGCAGTACGGTCGAGTTCAAGAATATGTCCTGGTGGATCCGATTCCGACAATTTAATCCTGTTGGAAGTGCTATCCTTCTCATCTCGACTACTTGTCTAGTACTCGCTCTGCAATGGGGAGGGAATTCTGGAATCTGGAATCAGCCTCGTACTATCATCACTCTGGTTGTCTTCGCTATTACCATCACCATCTGGATATTCATGCAATATCGACAGGGCGAGGGAGCCACAGTACCTTTTACAGTTGTTTCCCAGCGAACTGTTGCGGGGACATTACTCTATGCTTTTTGCAGTACTACGGCTTTCACCATTGCTACCTACTGGCTTCCAATTTGGTATGAGAAGATGAAGAATTGAAATTTTCCTATCGTGTAGCTAACCCATTGCGTAGGTTCCAAATAGTCAAGAGCAGCGATGCCGAGACATCTGGAATCCACAGTTTACCTCTAGTACTCAGCTTAGGGACACTATCCCTCATAGCAGGAGGCTTAACCATGTTAATCGGATACTATTCCGTATTTTTAATCCTAGGCAGCATCTGCTCTTCAGCCGGTGCTGGACTCCTAATGACTCTACAACCGGATTCTCCCGCAGGATACTGGTAAGTAAAACATCCAGCGTCTACAACCCTACAACACGCGCACACAAAACTTACATTTGCTTCTTCCCACACAGGATCGGCTACCAAATCCTCTTCGCAGCCGGAATAGGCATGAGTCTCGAACAATGCAACGTCGCAGTCCAACGCGTCCTTCCCTCTCATCACCTCCCCGTAGGAATGAGCCTTACGATTTTCGCACGCTCGCTCGCTGGGACTTTCGCATCTGCTCTAGGCCAGAATGTCTTTCAGAGCACTTTAGCTAAAGAATTGGGTGAAATTCTTCCAGTAGAGGATTTTCAGGGCAATGTTGGTGTTACTGCTATGATTGATGCACTGCAGAGGAAATATGGACGGGATGTGGCGTTTTATGAGGAGATTTTGAGAAGGGTGAATTTTAGTGTTACGAGATGTTTTATGGTGGTTTTGGTTATGGCTTGTTTGAGTTTGCCTTGCGCTGCGTTGGTGGAGTGGAAGAGTGTTGGGGTTGATGATAAGGAAAGGGTGGAGGAGGAGGATTGTTGTTGGGTGGATGGGAATTATGGGTCTGAGGAGAGGTTGTGTGGGAAGGAGGGTGGTTGAGATATTATTTTCCGGAGAAGGCTGATGTATGTTTGTTTCGACCAAGTTCGTCCCGTGGCTCTTCTAATCCGATTCCGCCTGTCTTAGTCGCTGCGCTGACATGCTTCCGTCGGTGTGCGAAAGGAGGAAATTCATCAAGTCCAGATCTTCCTGTCGTCCGCTATACTAAGTCCCCGCCCGGGTGGCGTGCTTGGCATGCATGACGTCCGGGACAGTACATAGTACCACAAGACTACCAACCAGTCGCCGACATTACACACAAACATTAAACCAGCCCATCATTATCATGCCATCTACTCGCCAAGACTTCCATGTAGCCATCGTCGGTACGTCTCCATCCGTAACGAGTCCTTCACGATAAAGAGCGTTTATCTAAACATCTCTCTCCTCTCCAGGCGCCGGAATTGGAGGTCTAGCTCTAGCAATGGCACTCCATCAAAAAGGGGTTTCTTTTTACACTCTACGAAGCTGCAAAGGAGTTTTCAGCTGTTGGTGCAGGGATTGGATTTGCTCCTAATGGGATGAAAGCTATGGATATCATTGAGCCGCGATTCCGTGCTTTGTATGAGAAAGTTTGTGTGGGGAATAAAGGTTGCGATGTCCAGAATGTGTTTTTTTGAAGGGATGTTACTTGAGAAGGGACTTGGTGAGTAGTGCATGGGGGTGGTGATGTTATGGGGATGCTTTGAAGTAGTTTAGTTTTTTTTACTGACTGGAAACTCTATAGGTGAAGGTCAACCTTGGTTTGGGAATTCTACATGGGGACATCCTGATTTCGTTCCCAGATCGGTAGATATTGCTGCAAGATCAAGTAGTAATTGTGACTGACACAGAGAGTACTAGGCACACCGCAAGAGCTTACTCGATATCATGACCAGTTTCATCCCGAATGAAAATGTCAAATTCAACAAACGACTCACAGGAATACAACAACACTCTGACAAAGTGGTCCTAAATTTTGAAGATGGAAGTGTGGACGAGGCTAGTGTTCTTGCTGGGACTGATGGAATCAAGAGCATCGTTCGGGAACATGTCTTGAAAGAACAGTACCCTAGCCAAGTCGCCCCTGTCTACGCGGACTCATATTGCTATCGTGCTGTCATCAGCATGGCAGAGGCGTATGAGATTATGGGAGATCTTATAGATGTTGCTAAATTTTACTTTGGACATGATCGTTGCGCGATCACGTACCGTATTTCAGGTGGCGAGGTAAGCTGATGCCCTCCCTCTAACTCTTTTGTAAGCTCCCTCTCTAAACCTTTCAACGACAGGAATTGAATCTACTACTCTGCGTCGCCGACCCTCATCCCTGGAAGATCCATTCCGCCGTGACCGAAAAAACCACCCACGAAACCATGATGTCCGACTTCGAGGACAGCACCATAGACTCCCGCTTCCGAAGATTACTCTCAAAAACCGAACCTATCAAATGGGGTTTCTTCCACCACCTCCACACCTCAACTTATTTCCTCGGCCGTGTCGCTCTTCTGGGAGATAGTGCTCATGCTTCTCTCCCCTATCAAGCAGCTGGAGCCGCGCAGGCTTTGGAGGACGCTTTGATTTTATCGCATGTTTTTGCGGAGCTGAATAATAGTTTTGCGGGAGATGATGATTCGAGGAGTAAGTCGCATGTAGAGGCTGGACTTGAGGTTTATGATTCTGTACGACGGCCTAGAGCTCAGAGGCAAGTGGAGCAGGCTGCTGAGGTTGGGAGAATGTTGTTTTTGAGACATGAGGAGGCTGGTGGGGATATGAGTGAGATTTTGGCGAGATTACAGAATGGGCGTTTTGATTGGATTTGGTTTCATGATCTTGAGAAGGATGTGGAGAGGGTTGTTTCTGGGATGAAGGTCAAGGATGCTGCCGATTCTCAGTCTTGAATGATTGTATGAAAGATAGTTTGTGGCTTTGTACGCGGGAGAGATTCTTTTACATGGCGGGACTGGCTAGGAGAGCATTTTCAAGCGATTCATCTCGCTTTTCGATGGCCCAGGCGCTATAATATATTGAAGAAGAGGTGTAGCACCCCCTCGGAGAATCTCAGGGAGAGCGATTGCAATAGTGACCATGTCAATTTTTTGTATACATCGTATCCTCACGAACCTCTCAATTCCTCCTTATCCAATCCCCATCCCCGAACCCAACTTTCAATCCACTCCCGTTTAACATCCCCCAACTCCCTCAAACTCCTACTCCTAGCCTTCGCCCTCTGCGTATCAATCTTCGCTCCCAAACCAGCACCTTCTTCAGACTGCACCAACCCCTCATAAAACTCCAACAACTTTAAAGCAGGATTCCCACTCCTAGGTCCAAAATTCCTCAACTTTCTCAATCTACTCCTTCAAATCCACAATCTCATCCAAACCCAATAGATCTTTTAACATAAGAAGTACATCTCTCGTCCACGTCATTTCCTCTCCCTCCTTATTACTATCACCACCAACAGAAGAAGAAGAAACATTACTAACATTATAAACTTCAAACCCTCCCCCCTCCCCATCAAGAGATTTTTCCTCCCGAGAACTCTCCCCCGCAACCTCTAAGATAATTCTAGAACAAACCATCCCCCGGAATCCAGCGCACACGATTCTCCTCCCCCAAATTCCCCGGCAGCGCCCGAATAGTCTGGGAACTCTTTACAAGACATCGGAATCGCCTGTTTAGGATCCCAGACTCCCGTAGACGAGCGAGCGATCAGAAACGCTACTTTCCGACAACGGACCTGCTACCTGGCCTGGACGAATAATTTTGACTTACTTTTCTTAATGATTGTACGGCGGCGGAGTAGAGGAGATCTTTTTCCACGAGCCATTTACTTTTGTGCGTAGCCTGAAGGTTCTGGTGCTGAGGGATCTTGGATGATGCTCTCGGGGATTGGGGACAGGGTTGAGCGGACAACGGCTGCGAGACTGGAGATGAAGATTAATTGAGGGTATTTTTGAGCGGTGGTGAGGAAGTTTATGAGGGAGGTTATTCCTCCGATTTGGCCTGCTAGTTCGGTTGTGGGGTGCAGGGGAAGATGGAAATTTACTGGCCAGGCGTTGTGGATGATTTGTTGTGGTGTGTGATTGTAGGGAGTTGTAGGATTTGGGGTCGAGGCCGAGGGATGGGGAGTTGAGGTTAGAGGTTGTTAGGAATTTTACTTTGGGGAGGAGGGGTGCGTCGTTTGGGAATGAGGAGAGGTATTGGGTTCTTGCATCTGGGGCTCTGTTTAGACAGGTTATTTGTTTGACGTTGTCGTCTTTGAGGAGTCGATGCAGGATGTGTGGTCCAAGGTTGCCGGTGGAGCCTGTCAAGATGGTGTTCTGCAGAGAGTGTACGTCAAGGTCGACTTTTTTTCGACCGGAATGTTTGGGCAGTTTCGTACGATGCTGGTGTAACATGTCTTTGTGGTGATGAGAGTGATGCTTTTGGTTGGGCCTTGTCGCCGATAGAGTTGCCTGTTCCTTGCAATCTTGGATATCAGCTTTCACACGCTTTGCAAGCTCCGAGGTAGACCGGTAAGAGTACAGGGCCGCGGGTGTGATTCTCGTGGAAGCAATTGCGCTATCRGATGACGCTGCCAGACCTTTGGACTGTTAGCAAGCGCCCCATCCGTGGATTGTAGAGCGTTGAGTAACTTACCTTTGTTGACGCTGCGTACCAAGTGTGCGACCTGGAGCGAATCCACTCCGCTGGAGAGTAAGTCGGTTTTACTGCCAACACTCCTACCCAGCACCTCTACAGTTACAGTGTTCAGGAAGGCTGAAACATCCGCTTCTGTTCCAGCAGTCGTCAACGTTGTAATTGCTGCGGGGTCCTGATATTGTTCATAAAGACGATCAATATCGACCTTAAGAGCATCCCCACTAGCACGCCGTTGGATCGTTCCCTTTGCCGTCCTCAGAAACGGTGTCGAAGCGACAGTAATCAGGTTCCTCACCAGTTGACCAAATCGAGGAAGAGTGGCATTGAACTTTTCCATCTCCCGCCAAGTTTCCTCAAGGATTGTCACCGGATCTACTCCTTGCAGCAACTCCAGAAGTAATGTAGGTCGACGTTCTCCCTGCCCTATCACCAGAGCGGCTCTCATACCAGGAAGAGAAGTTACTTTCCTCTCAATATCGGTCGCAATCATTTTCTCGTCCGTCTCAAACATTATCACATCGTCGAGACGGCATTCAAACTTCCACAAGTCCGGTTTGGAGGGATGTCGAGAAAACACATCTTTTGTATGGAATTTTCCCATACCCGGATGGACTGAAAAGCAAGGCTGTGCAATCCCTTCCAGTCTCTCCACCACCAATTCAACCAAGCCCTCCTGTACAATCTCGAAAGTCGCGCCACTCAGGGGGTGAAATCGATGATACTGCCAATCCGCGACGGGATCCTGGAGTTGGAGAAGTGGCATGAGATACGTTTCCGTTGAACCAAAGAAATGAGCCGTATTGGGGTTGATGCCGAGTAAGATATCGCCAGGGACTTTCGGCATGGGACCGCTCCCGATTTGTATATTTTTGAAACTTCTTAGTAGATCTCCGAATTTCTTATCACGGATCATGTCAGCGACGATCGATGGAGCTGAATGTAAACTGTCGATTTTCGTTGTCGAGGTACAGTGTTGTGCGAGATCGGGTGTTATTGGGGTTATGTGGTGAGGGAAAAAACCCGACCATTCCCAGATTTCTTCGCAGCAAGCAACAGGAGTAAGTACCGCACATCAGACGGTCCGAGATATGCCAGATGCGTCCCAGGCGTCGTATCTACAACATTTGCCTTGAGCCAGATTAATGTTCGATCTACGTCGCTTCTCAGTTCACCAAAGCTGATATCGTCGAAGCCTTCCAATGTATTGTTGTATTCTTTGGGTAGGATGGCACATGTTTCGTTTGGGGATTTGGGGGTATTCTCGTCTAGGACGGTCATTAATAGATGTCTTCCTCGCATCGTCTCGGGATCTTTTCCTAGGGCGGGGAGTATCGTCTTCTTTAGCGTTGAGAGTTTTGGTTTATTTGCTTGATCAGTGTCGAGTTTGCGGTTTTGCCAGCTGAAATGCATCTCGTTTACTTGGTGAGGGTAGAGGTGGGGAGTATAGTTCAGCAAAGGTGGGAAGTACGAATCAGAAAAGCTGGTCAGATCCAGGCKACATGAGGTATTTTTCATCAAGTACATGTACGGTAGTCACTCCACAGCCAAGCCATGCAGTGAAGATTTCGGACATGTCCGGTTAAGCCACAAACTGGAGTTCCACGCAGCATACAGCATGTACAGAGGAGGGATGAGACTTGAAGCTTTCCACCTCCAGCTCCTGTTCTTATGTCTGCGTCCGAACACTGAGAAGTCTCGAAATGTCGACTATCGTATCCTGGCTTTTCCTTCTCCGATAGTATAAGGACTTGGCTGCATATCATCTTTTGAGGCATAAGACGACAATCCTAATTTATCAGTCCTTCGAGGCGTTCTGGTACTCGTGGGTGTGCCTTGGTCCCCGAAAAAGTTGCAATCATGTACTCTCATCTCTCCTCAACAGTCACATTCGACCATAGATACACGAATAGAAGCCGTCCATGTACGCTCATATCTCCCTAATGATCACATTCGACCATAGATACATGAAAAATGATAAGAAGGCTCAACGTAATTCGATCCTTTAAAAGTGGAGCGTTGAATTGCAGCCGCACGGAAGTGGAGAGTACGCTCCAAGCTCCACTTCAAAGGGATCATAGAACGACCTACARCCGACATTAGCTATGCCAACTCACTCGAATAGTGGCCAAGAATGGATGTTCCCTGCTATTACTTTGCTAGTGCTTTGTTGTAACCGCGTATACGATAGGGCTCTGGTCTATACGTCAGTCGCACGCAATGAATCTTATGCGAAGAAATTCCAGAGCGAGGCGCCTCAGACGCATTCCAACTAAATATAGTGGAGTAGCCTCGAATCCATCGAGATGTAATGCATCCTTTACACGTCATCTACAGAACCTCCGATAACCGGTATCATAGATTACATATAGGTATCCGCTCTCTTAGATATTGAATACCAGACTTCAACAGAAAACCAACAAACAAAACAATACCGACTCGCCCGGCCCCCTCACTCATCAAAATGAAAGGCACAGCAGCACTCCTCATTTTCCTACCCTATTTCACACCGCAGATAAAAGCCTCAACCTTCACGGACATCACTCTCCAAGGGCCTCTCTCAACAGACATAGTCTCGACCAACAGCGACTGTACCGATATAACCCAATACATTTCTGGAATTCACCTCAGCCACTCAGTCACCGCAACTATAGGCGACGTGATACCTTCGAGCTGCACTCCCGTTCCTGTTATAACCCAGGCGATTCTGGACGTTGTAATCGAGGATAATTGTTGCGCTGTGATTGGAATTCCTACTCGCGCCGGCGGAGACGGCGACCGGTGTATCTTGTAGCGCTGATACTACGATTGTTTCGTCTGTACAAACGGTTATGCCTACCTAGGTCTACCGGTTAGAGTTAAGGGTTAGATTATAGGTTTCGAGGGCTTTATTCTATAATCCGATTTCTATAATAAGCACGCCTTCTTCTAGGGTTAGAAGTAGAACATTTCCTTAAAAAAGCTATTAGGATCGGTTAGTTATATCGACTATACGTAGGGCATTAGGTAGACTCTTATATCGCTAGGAAGGAGGCTTAAGCTTATACCTAACTAACTTTCGAACTCTCTCTATCGAAATGCTCTACTTCTAACAAAAGAGTAGTATATACCTTCTATTCAACGTCCAGCGATTGATCTAGGAGCAGAAGGAGAAGAAGAAGCAGTAGAAAGAGAAGAAGAAGAAGAGAAAAGAACCCCAGTCTCCAACCCTCCTCCTAAGTAAAATAATAAAACATCCCTCCTTCCAGAAGACCCTCCCTCTAAATCCCTTCAAAAAGAAAAATCCCTTGCATGCTTCCCCCCACCACCCCTCCCTCCCCGCCGTCCCTCTTCTCCCTTCCAAGCCTTGTTATCCACAGACCACTGTACCCACTGCAAAAGCTCGCCCAAAGTCCACCCTTTAGGTAAATCTTTCGCAGGTAGCCTCCCATTTCCTTTCCCCTGTGAAGTCCCAGTCACGCTAGGGACTTCCATTGTTTTAGTTAGAGCGCCGGGGGGTAAGGTATCGATTAGAGCTTGCAGGGTTTCGGAATAGAGGGTTGAGGATGCGGAGTTTGTGGTGGTTGTAGGGGCTGTTGTTGTTGTAGTGCACGTCTTTGTTGAAGACGAAGAAGAAGAAGAAGAAGGAGACTTGTAAGAAACAAAGGTGGTAGAAGTTCCCTTCTCCCCGCCAGAAAATATCATCGAAGCATATCCCGTCGACTGCGGCGAATATTCCTCTTGTGGAAGAGAAGAAGTACTACTCCCCGTAACCCAAGGCGCATAACTCTCAATCCTCACAGGCGTTTGCCTTGCGAGGGAATCCCCCACGCCACTCCAAAGCGTCGGTCCCGGAATCTGATATGTAGATTTCGATTCGTAGATGTTGATAAATATCCCCGCATCCCGTGCGTCGTAGAATTGCATTGCGGGGATTCCGTCGTTGGTGGAAGAGAGATCTATAGTACCTGTGGAGGTTGTGATGTCGAGGTTGATGCATTGGGGGTAGTTTTGTGCGCCTTTGGGGTGGTCGGCGGAGTGGAGGGAGATGATTTCGTGGCGGAGGACGTAGGAGCCTTTTTTTAGGGAGGGGGGGATTTTGATGGACCCTATATTGAGATGTTGTCAGTGGGCATGTTTGGATTGGAGGAATGGGGAGGGGGTTGTACAAGAGTTGTTGTTTGCGATGAGTTCGTCACTTGCCCATTTCCCCGGGGAAGTTTCCCATTCATTCATGCCTTTCTCGCTGATTTTCACGAATTCGAGTTTGGTCTTGTCGATATCTACACAGCTGTCACCGGGACATTTCGCGATGTAGTCCAGGACAGGACCATGGTGGCTCTCGGGCCAGTCGGTCCATTGCATCTCGACTACATCTCCCGCGGAGATTTTGGCGGCGATGCCTGCGGGTGTGGCGGAGCGGTGGCAGATGATGTCTGGGGAGGAGAATTTCGTGGGATCAATGAAGCCATTGTCGATGTCTTCTGGAGCGGACCAACCTGCGACGAGGGGGATGGGATTGCGGTATTGGAAGTTGGGGTTGTAGCCGAAGTAGTATGTTCCGCTGGCTACGATGCCTTGTACTAGACCGTGGGCAGAGGCGGATGCGATGAAAGTGGAGATGAGGGCGAGGGAATGCATCTTTGCTGGTGCTTTTTTTTTTTGGACTTTGTTGGATGTGTTGTTGTTTAAGGAAGATGCTGGGAATGCTGGAGAAGTATATGAATGTATCGCCAGGACACAAACTTTTTTTCCTTATTGAATGAGAAAAATGAGTGAAAGTATCAATAGATCAGAAAAGATGGAAGAATTCGACAATGGGAAGGAAATCTCAAAATCAGCGTGGTGGACAGACGGGACAGGATGAGGTTGGAATTCACCCAACGGGCGCTGGGAAGAAATACCACCAAGTTTTCCTCTCTCCGGAGATACGAGCAAGGAGAGAGAGGGCGTCTACACATGTCTTGTAATGCTCCACCACACACATCGTGCCATGCGAGGGAAAAGCACTTGCCAGCTCGTTTGAATGTAAGGTAGGTAGGGTGGACTCCAAAACACGGGAAGAGAAGAGAGGAAGTCGGGTGGGGATGAATTTGTTTGGCTGTGCTTGTCTTCTACAACGGGTGTTCAAACCGTTGCACAGGCGAGGCGCGTGGAGGTGGTGCGTCTCTTGGCGCGAGCACAATCGTCGCAGGTACCCGCCAAAGAATTTCGATGCTGCGATGGGGAGGCCGATGGTCGTCAAGGCCGTCGCACGGCAGTCATCGAGCGGGTGATGAAAACGCCCCTGTTCTCAGCGCCGTGCCGTGAAGACAAGGAGAGCAGAAATGGCGCTGTCTATGCGTCGCTTGATTAAGCCCGTGGTTCCTCTAGCGATGATTTCGAGCTTGTCGTCGTCCATCTGTGTTTCCTTCATTGACTTGTGAAAGCGAGCGAGTGCGAGGAGATGTCGCTCCATGTCCGCGGCTGACTGCTGACTCATCACCCGTACCCTTGTGCTAAGGTAGCAAGCACCCCTGCCTTCAGAGAATATCTTTTCGGTCCGTCTCCTATTCTCCACTCCACTCTAACACTCCACTCCGCATAAAAGAAACAAAAACCAAAAAAAAAAACATTCAACACCAGGAATTCCCCAATCGTCACCGACTTGAGTACTAATCTAGCGATTACACGTTTCAATAGGCCGGAGCGGACGGGACGGCTTGTTATTCGTGTATCTATGGTCGAATGTGATCATTAGATAGATATAAGCGTATATAAATGCAACTTCTTCGAGGATTAAGGCATACTCGCGCGAGAGTCGCCTCTAAGGACTAAATCAATGGTCATGTTACGCAGGCTAGGAACAAATCTGATTGACACATGTATACATACATACTGTACATCCCCTAGAAACTCCGACATTCTCAATTTCCCATCTCTTCTATACAAATGTACTTGATAACAATTACCACACCATACCATACACACACATATACAACCTAAACTCCCTCATCTCACTCCCTCATCTCATCTCATCTCACAACAACCTCTTCAATCTAATACCCTCCTCCCTGCACAAACATTCCCCCCTTCATCCCCATCCCCCCCATCATCAACATCAACTCCTCCTCCTCCCTCTCCCTCAAAATCGCCCGATACTTAAACCCAAAATTCAAAATCAGCGCAGCAATCAACCCCAAACAAACAACCACGGGTCCCAAAACCCGATCAAAATCCCTCCCACTCCTCCCCTGAATCAAACTCATACGCCACATATACACCCACCAGCCCCACCCGCCAGCAAAAACCGCAATACAAGTATACACGATGCCCAAAACTTTCCCCACGCGGTTTTCCGGCCCGGCGGCATTGAATAAGCCCAAACTGAGGGATGCCAATAACACGGAGACGTGTTGCCATTTGATAAAGGTGCGTTGATTGGCGAGCCAGACTTTGCCTTCGACTTGCACGGGACCGGCGTCTTTGATCCAGGAGGTGGGTTCTACGACGCCTGGGGGAAGGGCTTTCTTTCTGCGGGAGGCGGCGTATTTGGAGGTGCTGAAGGTGGGGAAGAGGGATTTCCAACCGGCGGGTAGGTTGGTGTGGCCGTTGGTGGCGTGGCCATTTCCATTCGCGTGGACACCGGTTTCATCGTCGTCGGCTTCTTCCACCACATCGTGTTGTTGTTGTTGTTGAGGGACACTCAGGCTCATTCTATTCCCGATCGAGGTCGATTCGGCGCCCATGGAAGGACTGCCTACAGGAGAGAGCATTTTCTTCTGCATGGAGGCGCCCAGACTGCTTCGCTTGAGGAAGGAGCCGACGGCACTTTCATCGGCTTGCTCCTTTTGTCGCTTGGCGACTTCTTCCTCAAAGGCTTGTTGTGGATCCCTTCGAATGTCCGTCTCCATCTGGGACAGCCAAAAGGGGAAGGTGTTGACGTAATCTTCAAACAATTGTGCGACTCCATGGATGAATTTGGAGAAGCGAGGAGCTTCCTTTACCAGATGAGAGGACATCAAATCTTCAATCCATTCCGCCGACTTCTTCCCCGGAGAGGTGGCACGCATCTTGATCTCCAAGACGGCAAAGGGGAAGCGAGCGATTTCTCCCTTGCGGATGGAGGTGAAGGGGTACTCCAGTTCATGGTTGTCAATATCAGTGCGATGCCACGAGTCGGGATCACGACACGGCCGATCACTGTCAATGGCATCTTCGCGGATAAAGGCGAGATCGGTGTCGAGGGAGATGCGCACGCGGTTGTCGCCGGGGATTTGAAAGGCGGTGCGAGTGTAGTTGGCTCGCACCACCGGTTGTAGGTCATGGTCTTTAATGAAGGATTGAATCTCCTCGACGGAAGCCTGCATGGATGTGGCTTCTGGAGAGTCGGGTCCGGCACGATCGGAGAGTTTCTGAATCTGCTTCTCCATGGCGTAGTCGGCGTTGATGAAGCGTTGGACATATTTATCCTTTGTGGTGAAGCGGGCTTCCTTGGACGTGTTGTCCTCGTCGACCGTCYTCTTCTCCACGAAAATGGTGGGTTTGGCGTTGAGACTGCCATACCAGCGAAGACGGAGGGACGACCCGGCGCTATGCTCYACTTTGTTAGAGTACAGTTCCAAGGCGGGATTGTCAAAGTAGATGCTGGTGATGGAGGGGTCCGGTTGGTTTCCTTCGGCCGTCTTGGAGGTTTGCGGGTTGTAGACGAGCACGGGCAAACGACGGAGGATCATGGTCTTGACTTCGAGCAGGTTTTCAGGATGCACCCAGAATTTGTGGCTGACGTATTCCTCCTTGTTCTCCGCAGTGTCATCCGATTTCCCGCCTTCCTCGCCGCCACCCCCCTCGACCTGCTGTCGGGCAAAGCTGTACATGGCCGATAGACGAAACAACAACGGACCGTAATCCTCCTGATTGAAAGGAAGAGCGGCCAATCGGACCTGCAACAGCGGTCGGATCTTATACGAGGCTCCCCTCTTGCGATCATGTTTCTTGGCGGCCTTGAGGAAGCCGGCGTAGTTGATGCGCGCATACTTGGCCAGCTCATTCGTCTCGCCCGTGATGTGATCCAATTCCGCCAACACGGATTGCAGCACCTTTTTCCGCTCCGCCTCGCTGGGAACGGGCTTTTTGCTGTTTTTCTTCTTATTCTTGTTATCCTCCTCCTCCTCCTCCTCCTCCTTCCCCGCAATCGAGTCGAGTTGAGCCTCACACTGCCCCGTCCGTTCCCGCAGTCGCTCGTACGTGTCGCGGTGGAAGGCATGCACCTTTTCCAGCTGCACATTCACCAATTCCGCCACGAACCGCCCTTCATCCTCATCCGTCCACACATCCGCCGCACCGCTCGTGGCCGTCGTGGGGGAAGAAGGGGCGGAATCGTCATCGCGGAGGAGTTGTTTGAGTTTGGTGTAGTCGATGTAGTGTGCCTTCCATGGGCCATACGCCGATGCCGACAATGTCTTGCCAAATCTCATCTTCACTGGAGGTGATGTGAAGTTTTATAGATGGAGAGATGGGATGTTGACAATCCCCGTCCAGCAAGAAAGAAAAACAAGACAATGGCTGGCTGGCTTGGATGGCAGTTGATTTCTGTTGCTACACATCCGACTGCCCCGCTGGTTGACGTCCAAGCTTCTACTTTCCAAACTAAATTAATCCCCGTCGCGCATCATTACAAGGTTCAACCCTGCGAATCAGCTGCACCGCCGTTGCACGTGTGCCAGATTGAGACCGGATGTGTCCCAAATTGAGACTAGAAATGTCCCAAATTGAGGCTTGAAGTCTGCCAAATTGAGACTGGAAGTGTATCAAATTGGAGCAAGAAATACCGCTCAATCGAAGGACATCGCACCATCAAATTGAAGCCCATTTGATGATCTTCCCTTCAATCCCCTTCAATATATCCTCCCCTCAATCAACTACAGCAAGCGATCCACACATCACCTCTCCGTCCCTCCATCCTCCCATCCCTCCATCTCCTCCATAAACAATGTCCTCTCCTCCCTCCTCAATCCCCGCCCTCCAAACCCTCCTCGAAACCCTCCTCTCAAACCCCGACCCAACCCTCCCCTCACCCCCCAACCTCAAAAAACGCGCCTCCATAGCCCTAATAATCCGCCTCTCCCCCTCCTACACCCACCCTCCCCCAACAAAACCAGACTCCCCACCCAGCACCCTCGAAGAACTCTTCTCCCCCCCTTGGACCACCCACTCCACCCCCGAAATCCTCTTCATCAAACGCTCAGCCCGTCCCTCCGACCCCTGGACCTCTCACATAGCTCTCCCAGGCGGAAAACGCGACCCCACAGACCCCTCAGATTTACAAACCGCAATTCGCGAAACCGAAGAGGAAATCGGCATAAATTTAGAAGAAGATGCTGTGTTTTGTGGGGGGTTACCACAGAGGGTTATTACGACGCGATGGGGGAAAGAGGCGTTGATGGTGTTGTGTCCTTTTGTTTTTATTCTCAAGGGAAGGGGGGCTGGGGAGTTGAGGGTTAGGGCTAGTGAAGTTGCTAGTGCGCATTGGGTTCCGCTTGAAGAGTTGAGGGGGAAGGAGAGGAGGACTGTGGTTTTTGAGGATGTTGTGGGGAAGAAATTCGAGGGTGGGGTGCTGAAGAAGTGGGTTTTACGGAGGGTTTTGGGGAGGATGGTTTTTGCTGGTGTGGTTTTGGAACCTATGGAATCTGTACATAGTCGCATCTCAGAGGAGGATGGGGTTTTGGATTGTCGATATTTGCCGCCTTCTGTTCCTTCTTGGTGGGAGAGGTTGGTGGGGAGTTGGTGGGAGTTTCCTGGCACGTTTCCGCCTAGAAGGGAAGCTCCGTTGATTCTTTGGGGGTTGACTTTGGGTGTGATTTGTGATTTTCTGGAATTATTACCACCCCCAACGACGACGACGACGACGACTGCGACAAAAGATTCGGGGATGGAAATGTGGACGTTTCCTACTTTTACCCCTCCGGATGTACGGTTCGCGATCTGGTTATTAACCTATCGCTGTAAAATTCGAAGGAGAGTGGAATTGCAATCCGGGGCGGAGATTCAAAATCCTCATCCAGGAGGAGGAGGAGGCGGAGTGAATCTTGGAGCTTTGACGCAGAGTGCTCGGGTTACGGGTATAGACACTTCGACGGAATGTCTGGTACCAAAGACTTCTGAGGGGAAAGGGGATGATAAGAGGGACGGGAGGTCGTTGGAAGGGTGGGTTGAGTGGTTGGCTGGGAAGGTTTTGCCGGAATGTACTGATCGGTCTAGGTATTTTGAGTTGGTGAGGAGGGCGGTGGTGTTGGTTTTGATTGGGRGGTTGGGGGTTGGGGGTTTTTTGGGGTGGGTTTTGTGGAGGGGTTTGAAGAGGAGGAGGATTGGAGGTGGGGTTGCTGTTGTTTCGGGGTAGGCGGGACATGTTGAGAGGGATTGTTGTTTGTTTGGATGTTGATGAGGGATGTTGATGAGTGATATGTGGTGGAATTTTTCGTTGAAGATACCCATGGACTTTGGTGAGAGGGATACTGCTGCATCTCTCTTCTTGTTAGAGGATTCGATGATGAAGGATAAGCCTTGACAAGAACGTCCTCGCCAGCAATTTCAACATCGAAAAAGTCTGCAGGGACAGGCATGGAACTCCTCGATACGATCTATGCAAGTCCTGGAGCTAGAAACCCTCGGGAGACACTCGGCCACCACCACTTCCACCGCTATCTGGAAGCCGATCTTGTCAGGAATCTCATCATCACCGAACTGTTGTCCCACAGCCTGACCGTTCAAATGGTATACAGATCCGCTGGACAAACACGCTTGTGTTGTCTGTCTGTCCAATACTCTGGCCATATACATACATACCATCCTGCGCATCATCGCGTGAGTCCCTGCCGGAGCACGTATACTTATCTTGGAGTCTGGGAGCGATATCGAGTGTGAGGTCCTTTATCCCAGGCTACCAATTTGGCCTCTAYGACCGGCTTTTCATTGTCCTTTGGGTCGCCATATTGACATGCAGACTCTCTGATGGGAAGAATCCGAGATCTCTGGTCGGGAGGATAGCTGGTGTGTCTTCCTTTCCATTTATCGTAAAGGTCCATAAGATTGGGATGATTGATGGTATAGGTGGGCTTTGAAATTTTGGCTGCTCTTTCTCGGCGTCGAGAGAAGATGGTTCGTCTATATGGCGGGCGGCATTGCCGTTGTCCCTTCTTGTATTGATATGTAGTCATTGTCTGTATTGAATATCAACTCATCTTCTGGGCTGCATTGCCTTAAACAACAAGAAGCTGTTGTGGCTGCTCGATTGAGCAAGGACTTCATTGTTGACTTGCCATAGTATTTAGAAGGGGAAAACGATTCGTGATTGATGATGGGCACGAGGATGTTGATCCGCCTCGCCGGAAGATCTACTGATCGCAATGTCATGTGGTTTTCAGCTGGCACCAAGTCATTGCATTCCATCATTGACACTCGTTCCTGTCGTTACAGGTAAGAGGAGTCCGGCTGATGATCGAGCGGGACTTCTGGTCTTTGCGTGTTCCAACACTATCGATCCTTCTTTTCTCAACTCAAAAGATGTATTGTAGCTCGCCACGCATGGGACGACTCCTACCTTACTTTCCGTCAAACCAAAAGAATTCCTCCTTCCATCTACAACACGCTCTTTCCAACATGAACTCACTCTCCCTCTCACTTCCTCTTCCTTTAAGGTACCTTCTCATCTCTTCCATCCCCAATACATCAACATTCACCTCTACATTGCATTGCAATCATCAATATCAACAACTCCAGAGAAGCGAGCATTCGTACACCGCTTTCTTCCACARCAAGCTGTTCCATCAATCACATCAACAATCTCAAGAAACAATCATCATCAACCGCTGCCTTCAACCACATGATCCACCGCGAAATAATGGCCGCGAGACGTCCCCGCCAGATACCACCCGCACGCCCCACGTTATCGACACCGCGTCTTGAAGCTGCGGCCGAACGAGCAGCGCAGGAGGAGATCGAACTACTAGATATGGCTCAGCAACCTGCTGCTGCACAACTTCCCGACGACGCAGTACAACCTCCCGCCGCAGACATCAACGCATTGGAAGAAGGCGGCGGCGGCGGCGACGTCCTGCCGAATCCAAATGCTGCTCAACGTGTTGGTCGACCTAGAAGAAGAGAGGTCGCAAGACTGGCAGCTTTTTTCACCAGGAAGGTCGCTCGTTGGTTCTACAATCTGTCTCCTCTGAGATTCTCCGTCGGTTTCGTTGGTCTCGGGGGATTGCTTGCATTGTACTGGGTTGGTGTGGACAGGTTGAACCGTAATCTAGATGCTGTACCCACGAATACGTCTTCGGTGGTTTACTGTCAGATCTGCCGGGGGAGAAAATACATGAAAGAGAACTGTCTTTGATCATTTCGTTTTTGCTGCGGTCGGAAGATAAGGGTTGCGGGTGTTTGTGGGCGAGGCGTCGTGATGGTTGCATGTTCTGTATTTCACATCGTTGAGTTTGGAATCGAGCCTCTTGTTGCTTTGATCCTTTTGCATTGTCTTTTTGCGATCTTTGAGTGGATGAATATTGTATTGTCTTCATCAAATCTTCGCCCTCCCTCCAGGAAGGAGAGAAAATGTTCGATTTCAACATGAAGTCTGAATGTCGAACGGTGCCTACCTCTCAGGAACCTCACCTTGCAGACATCCTGATTCATCCAGATCGTTGTCCACATGGGTTCAGTCGTCACTCTTCTCACATGCCTCTCGCTAGCTATCATGCTAGTCATCGGCCTCTGTCGTCAAAGTGTCAATTCCCTCCGAAACCAACACACACCCCGAAAATTGGAAATGTAGCCTCTTCAACGCTGGAAGAGAAATACAAATCATCAGTCAAGAGTTGCAAGCACCAGTCCGTGGAAACTACCAAGATGGGACGAACTGCGACTTCTTATATAGGTTCTCAGCGAGGTTTAATCAAATCGTGAGGTTGTTAAGCTAATGCCTGGGATTTAGGGGGATGCTGTAAGGAATAGCTTGATTGCTCGAGAGAGTCATTTCCCTGAGCTTCCTCGCGCGGGTTGTTATAGTTGGTAGGTTGGGTAGTGTGTATTTGACGAAGCGTATTAGGTTGGGGAAGTTGGGGTTGATGATCTTGGCGTGAATGATGGCTATGCGGGACTGTCTGTTTGTGATGGTTTTGGAGGAGGGGTTGGTGGATCTTGTTGGCTGAGTAGCGGGAGTGGACTTTGGCGCTTGTTATGCTATAGACGGAGGGGATGGTGGTCTTCGGTTATGAGATCCTAGATCTTGTCCTGTATCTCGACKGAGAGTTTATCGATGCGCGACGACGTTGTTAATGGGCTAGTGGTGACGAGATGGGTGTGGTTGTTTACTAGAGTGGCTAAGGTCGTGATAAGGGTTTTTGGAAAAAGGCGAAGAAAAATGGCAATGGTGCACGAGGGATGGCGGTAGAACAGAAGTAAATGTGCTTGATGGAGGACAGCAGAAATATGAGGATTCCCAAGGCAGAGCGGAAGCTAAGCTTTACCAAAGTTGTCGCTGAGGCGACCGTTCTCCACTGTAACACTAGCGGCTGATTAATTGCTTATATGACTCAGCGAGGTGAATTCCATTCTACGACATGATCCCGAGGACTCAGAATACAGCGCACAGCCAAGATCTGAGATAACAGTCGGGAAAACTATCCTAATTACGCACAAGTTGCTGGGAATGAATATGTTGATTTAATAACTTCCTACTGTTCGCACAATACCCAAATGAGCAAAATAGGGGCTCAACATATACTCCCCTATCTCTGCCGTGAGGCAGCGAAACTGGTCGAGAAAGATCTCTAGCTGCAAGAAGTAGAACGGAAAACGATGTCTAAGAATGCTGACTATATATCTTTCGTGAAATCCACTCCATCAACACATCCCGCATGATTCGCTAGCAGTCATGCAAAGAGAAATACAACCGAGATCGACAGACTTCCCAACTTTCTACACTTCATCTTTAGCTGCATCAAGCAGCGGCAAGAGTCCCCCCAATCCTCGGCAACCCCCTCAACCTCCGACTCCACGCCCTCTCAAACTGCCTCACCGTCATACGCGTCCCGGGAGGAGCACCAGGTAAAAGCGGAAACGGAACTCCAGGTAAAACCGGAACTCTAGCAACCACCAAACAAACATATCCATGACAACCCATACAAAACAACACTTTAGGAGCAGGTCTAGCAGCCTCCACAGCCGCCGCATCAGCTATTGAAGCCACTACAGGAAGATCTTTCAAATCTTCTATATCCTCTCCACAAGGACAAGCTCGATAAACACCATATTTCACCCGTCGTCGAAGTTCTTCAGGGGTAGCTTGTACGACATTTCCTGTTTTGGGATGTTTCTTCGCGTTTCGAAGCCAATCATCCGTGTTGTTTTTCTTTTTTGAGGAGGGACATCCATGCGGCTCTTCGATCTCTATGGCAGAGAAATCTAGGACGCGCGGGGTCGGCGGGTGATTGGCTTGTATCTGTGAGATATTGACAWGTACAAGAATTCATGAAACTTGTAGGGTTATTCCCTGGTTTAGGATATTTTTGCCATTCGGGGACGTTTTTGGGGACGGGTAGCTAGAGAGCGTCGTAGGAAGTAATGTTGTGCTTGGACGAGATCTTGACAGGGTGTGCATATTCTGGTTAGGAAACCTTCCCAAGGGGGGGGAATTTCTTGTGGGGGCGAGATTTCCTGTGAGGATTTCGGTTTGGGTTTGCCAGGTTGTTATGGCTGGGTTGGCGGAGACTGGAGGGGAGATTGTGATCATTTTTGTGCGGAATCTTTGGAGAGGTCCTGGACGTTGTAGGAAGTAGGAGGTGGTAAAGTTGTTGCAGGCATTGCAGACTGTATAGGGTGCGTTGCGGGGATGTTTTAATATGTTTCCTGGACAGGGATTGTATTGAGGTGGTGTGGCGTTGCATCCTGTTGGTTTGGGCGGTATGGCGAGGGAAAAGATGGCTGGGAAGTCGGAGCAGTTTGGGACTGCCATTGTCGAATGATGATTTTTTGATGTGTGTTTCAAGTCGTGGTGGCATTCCAGATGGTTTCATAAGACATTCCGAGTATATACGCATTTTGCTGCTGACCGGATGCGGTTATGAAGATGGWCAAGTCTTTGTGCTACTGTGCTAGTTAGACGAGAGATCTGGGTGAAGAATAAAGAGTATGGACGTCGAGAAAACCTCGACGACAAAGACATCATTTGAGTGCTTGATGCTGTTATTGAAAAAATCGCTCAAGGGAGGGATCAAACTGGCTACCCTAATCTAACATCATCTACAAACGCTCTCATCATGTAGAACCCAGCATTTACGTGAAAGCATTGCGCTCTCAACCCGGTTAGGATGACAGGATCGTGTATCCATCCGTATTGGAGCGTTGTGCTGCAATCATTTCTCCCAAAGTCCGTTCAAACTCCAAAAGATCAATTTCGTAGCTTTACTACGTGATCTGTTTACACAGTGCGCTGGAAACATGTCAGTATAAGTTCAAAGCAGAAGCACGTTTAAACATTCGCACTCACCAGACCTCCCCAAGACGCGGATCCCGTCGGCTGCATCGCAACACCTTCACCTTCATCTTCATCCTCAATCTTCACTTTCTCCTCAACATCCGCATCCTCCTTAATCTCCACCTCATCGGCGTCACCAATATCCGGACCAACAACATCTTCCTCAAGCTCATCCCGCATCACCCGCTCCCGAAGATCTTCCAAATCCTGCTGCGCCTGTGCACTTATCATGTCCATCAAGTGGTTCTCAGCCAACTTCTGCTGGTCGAGAATGTCGGCACATTCACGAAGCTGATCCGCGATGATATCTCTCTGTCGTGGGCGGGTGGTAGTGACGACAGCTGATAGATCAGAGATGCATTGACGGAAAGCGCTGCTATCAGCGAATTTGATGTAGTCATGCTTCATGTTGAACAACTCGTCGGGTTTCTTCATCGTTTCGATCCATTTGCTGAATTTCTCAATGATGCTCGAGTTACCGGTGAATTTCTTGGTGATGATGTGATGGAAGCGGATTTGGCGCGCGGGTGTGTTTTCATCTGATCCATCGGCCTCGTCTGCAGGGGAGAGAAAGTCTTGCAGCTTCCCTCTGTTCTGGAGAGTCCGGAAGAGTTTGCGCGTGTTAGCAAACTGGAAATCCTGGACATTGATGGTAATGCAATTCAGCTCATCGATGATGTACTGTTGAGCGAGGAGACGGTACGCGGAATTAAACGAGGTCTTGTTCGAGATAGCGCTGGCGTAGATAGTAGAGAAGCTGAATGTGCTTTCCTGCACACCTTTCTCCAGCGCGGCCGTAGAGGATACTGGGCCCAGAAGGCCCTTGCGCGCGTCCTTGGAAGTAATGACAAACTCGTCCGATGGTAGGATGAGCTTGTGCACCATCGAGGTGATTTCGGGTGGAACCCAGTCGAGATGGGTCTGGCTCTGGTCAAAGTTGGAGCCGGGAAGAGTTCGAGCATCAGTGGTGGAGTTTGACATTTTGTCGAGTGTCCAGCTGACGGCGGGTTGATTCGTGGGCGCAGAGGCGCACTGGAGGTCGAGTCGGGCAAGTGCGTTGTTGATTGAAGGCTAATGGCGATGATGTGGAGGTGTTGTTGACGCGAGCGAAATGCTAACTAATGCGTGCGAAAGGCTGATGCGGGCAGATGGTTGATGCGAGCGAGATACTGACGCCGGCGAGATGTCAGAGCGTGGAGGTGATGCTGGTGATGTTGCAAGCGAGTCGAAAAGTGGTGGAGGGGATGCGGGTGGGTGGAGAGATCCGAGCGGGAGCTTGTGGGACAGCCGGGGTGCGGGAGGGAGACCCCTTTTTGGGCGGGGCAGAGATTCATTCACCTACCTCTTCTACATACAATCTGGATTCGTTCTCTGATGCCAAAGCCACCGACGATCTTGAGGCATGGGACAGTATCGGAAGTGTGACATAGTTCCTGAATTGTAAAGGGGTAAATGTTTGCATACATTACAGGCGGTCATCCCACTATGACCTGGAAAGTTTCCCACGCGGCCGACTATGTAGTAGTAGAGATTGGTATATATGTATAATCAGAGCAGATCACCCCCTCAGAGTGGCACGATTCAATTTGAAGAGCCGCGGTTGAGCGCGTCTTTGAAGTATTCGCAGGGGAATTGGTACAGCAGGTGCTAGCGCCCTGTACCCAACATATCCACTACAACACATACATGTGTAGACTTGTGGATTGTGACCAACGGCTTGATTGATTTCTTGTCCGCACTATATCAATTCCATTAGTACAACAAGACCATCGCATGCTGATTTTCAATACTCACCCGACAAGCTCGCCAAGCCTCATTTCGAACCCGAGCCCGACTCAGTCGAGCGTTGGCTCTTTTGAGTACTCCTGTGGGTCCACCTCGATGCATATTCCGTAGCCATATATCGTTTCTATTCTTCTCGGCAATCATTGTATTTTTTGTTTCCTGTTGATGATGATGACAAAGTGTAAGGTCTGGTTTAAGACCCAATCGAAAAGCACAAGTACATGAACTCATAGGATACTGGTGCCATGTTTCTATTGGTCCATCCAAAGTTCTGTCGTGGAGCCATGGTGCTGGTATGGCCAATGCGGGTGGTGTCCGGTTATAAATCTCTTGTTCTATCAGATCCTCACAGGTGGCACAACATCTCGTGAGAAAACCAGTCCAAGGGGGGTTGGGACGGGATCCCGCTGGAACAATACCGCTGGCTAGTTCTATTGGAAGTGCCCATCCTGCTGGAGGGGTAACCGCCGGTCCATTGTTAGTATTGAGGACTGGYCACCATGCAGCCAAATTCACCATCCAGCCAAAAGCAAAAAGCAGAGGTGCAGGTGCAGGTGCAGGTGCAGGTGCAGGAGCAGCTGCCAAACCTAGATCGGCTGTCGACGCCAATTTGCAGTTCCTACAGATCCGATGTTGCGGAAATCGACCTCTTGGATGCCGATAATGGCAAGTCGATCGGGGTATAGCRAGCGCATTGCATGGTAGAAGTGGCGCAATACCAAGGTTGATTAGTTCGGCACGTTCGTCGCAGTTGTTCGCCATGGTTAGTATTGAGGCCAGCTGGGACAGTGCAAGGAGAAACAGTTTTACCTACGAGCAAGGTCGGAAATACTACATCGACTTCCATCATTGTCTGTCAGTCTGAATGCGGCTATGTTGGAGTTCTTTGATGTGAAATTTGGGCCCTTTGACATTGTTAGAACTTCTGCTAGCTCCAAGATAGTGAYGAATGGGAGCGAAGCGAGAAAGATAGAGCTGTCGCTATGAGAAATCCACCAAAAGAACAGTGCCCTGATCTGCTCTCTCGATTGGTTGATAAGCCACTCTGCTAGTGGCAAGGATTCTAGCAGGCCTAGAATCGTCGAGCCTGCAGAGAGCGAAACCTTGAGAGATTGTGGGTATGACTGAGGATGCCTTGTCCCGATGAATAATTCTCATATCGACAGCTCTGGCTCAGAAAGAGGAGGTCGTCTGGGTCGACATTGTGCATGGATACATACAACTTCACGGGATACAGTCTGTGTAGAATCGTGAACTTCCTCAATACTGAAGTTGCCGCTGCTAACTGTATATGTTTTGGCGGCAGCCTCCTCACCATATGTATCTCCAGGCCGGCAGCTTGTCTCCTGAATTCATCATCGAAGCATGGGTCAGACTAAGCTCTTGCAGCTGCTTCGCAATTTGTGCATGTCCTAAGACCTCGTTACACTCGCAGTGGTCGTTCAGGGCCATGTTCAAACGGCCCTGTTACAAGGTGCAATTATTGCTCGGGGCAATTGATCAAGAACATAGGCGTGGTTATCGCAATTCATCATGGTTACGTTGAGAGATACCGAGCATGCTCGTCTTACACATTCTTTGTGCATTGTATCCTGTCCCGAACGCAGCTATATTCGAGTTCTTTGATGTGCGAGCGGGATCCTTTCAGTATAATGCTCTCTTTGTCTATGTGAATCTGATGCCTGTTGCCTATGTACAAAGAAAGCCATCTACTCCCCGGAATGGAGACTCCTCGCTCTGAATAGAACATTCCAAATCTACAGAAAGTGAATCGTGGAAGTCTTGTTAAATAGAAGTTATTTTGCCGTCGATCGTTCGGGAAAAGATTGAGCTTCATCTATATCCCTTAGATAATACCGTCGTAGCGTATCGCTACCGGGCGTACGCTTACTAAGAAAGAGTACTACCTATCTATCTATCCCTTAGATAATACCGTCGTAGCGTATCGCTACCGGGCGTACGCTTAGTAAGAAAGATTACTACTTATCTATCTATTCCTTAGACGGCGGACCGGGTAATCCGTACCTACCGAGGAGAGATATCGGATATAGGTATAGCCTATATCTACTACTAGAGCGTATAGTTCCTTCTATATCGCCTCGCGGACCGCTAAGGAGGGACATCGGATATAGGTATAGGTTTACTACTATATAGAGGGGAGGGGTAGAGGGGATCTCGAAGAGAATTAATATACCTAGTAGAAATAAAAGTAGTAGATGCTAGATATTAGTCTTTAGCTAAAATAAAAGTAGTAGATATTAGATATTAGCCTTTAGGAGGAAGGAAAGTAGTAGATACTAGATATTAACCTTTAGTAGGAAGGAGTTATACCTTCTAGTAATCGTAGCGTAGGTATATAGAAGGAATATTATAAGGATATACTAGCGTACTATACGCTTTTAAACATCCTTCTTTTCTTATTATATAAGCGATCTAGCGATATCCGACCTATTAGTCCCTAAAGGTTAGTAATAGTCTAACACGAATAGCGGCCGTCGAAATTACTAATAATAGGATCCCTAATATAATAGACTTTATAATACGATAGACTTTATAATACGATAGAGAAGCTAGGCTAGATATAGAATAAAAGTAATAGCGATAGTAGGGCGGTAGAGAGAAGAAGAGGAAGAGCATACGATTTATTAGCCTTTAGCCTACTCTACTACTACTACTCGTATTTATAGCCGCCTATACGGTTATCTACGCCGTTACCCTTATTAAACTAGATAAAGGCATTATCCGTATATACTTTATAGGGATAGATAACCCTATTTACCCTCTTCTAACTACGATAGCTAGCGTACTTTAGTATACGATCTACTCTAAAAGTAGTCTCCTCTAGGTAAGCGATATAGGAGCGCTTACGCTCCTACGTAGTAGAAAGAATACGACTAAGGGTATTTCTATATCTACTATAGTACTAGCCGTCGATAGTAGGCGTATAAATCTTAGCCCGAGAGGCCGGCCGGCTAATAACATTATCCTCTTTATCTTTATCCTCCTCCTTATCTTCCTTATTACTAAGAACGGAGTCGGTCTTACTACTTATATTAGTAGTAGTTCCTAGACCTTTCGGTAGACTAGTACTACTACCTCCGTTAAGGCTACCGGGCGTACCCGTATTGTCGTCGTCGTCTTACTCTAGTAGGTTAAAGCTAAAGCTACTATCGTCTAACGGGGAATATTACTACTATTACTACTATTAGTATTACTACTACTACTATATAGCGCCGATAAGAAAGTCCGATACGAGAAGACTAGAAGGAAGTAGGCCGGACGAAAGCGTAATAAGGGCGCTAGAAATAGAGGGTAGGCGGCTAGAGGAGGACGCGGCGGCGGTAGGCTTCTTCTTCTTCTTCTTAATACCGCTAGGGACGGCGGTAATAGTACGGTTACGCGGGCTAGGACGAGCGCTACTAGGAGTAGACCGCTAGGTTCTACTCTAAAATAAAATTAGTACTCTACTCTTAACGACTACGACCGTAACCGCGATAGAAGAAACCTACTAGTAGATTATTCTACCGAGTCGATAGGCTAAAGCTAAGGTACGATATAGCCGCTACTACTACTATTAATATTAGAGTAGTAGATTCTAGTAGTAAAGTTAACCTTTAGTAGCTTAAAGGGGTAGTCGGTAGTAAAGTAGATTACGAGGAAGAAAATACCGCTAGGAAGGTAGTAGTAGTAGTAGTAAAGGGCGAATAGCGAGGATTACGAGCGAGAGCGAGAGCGCGCTATTATTAATATCGGCTAGTAATAGTAACGCGATCGCCTATATAATAACGCGGCTATACGACTACGATCGTATAACGGCCTATAATAATATTAATAATATTAATAAAAGATAATAAGAGTTAAGGAAAGATAAAGAACCTACGGCTTTAAGTATAGGTTCTATTAGGAGTAAGGATGCGAAACTTTACTATTCTTATACGAATTTAGTAATAATAGTAAAGCTATATATATACGACCCTAACTTCGTAGTAGACACGAGAGGAACTATTACTCGTAGTATCGGACGATTAATAAGACGGAAATCCGGAGCTAGAAACGACGTATTTTATAGCCGTAAACGTAATACTACTTACGAGCTCGAGCTCCTCCTCGAGCTCGAGTACTACTTACGAGCTCGAGCTCCTCCTCGAGCTCGAGTTCCGATACTTACGAGCTCGAGCTCCTCCTCGAGCTCGAGT